AAACAGGCGATGGGTTCATCCTCGTTGCCAGACTTAATCGGCTAGTACCTACTGATATCTGGATTATCTGCAACACGAATTAAAATTCCATCTTCTTCATCGACAGTAATAGTTTTTGTAGCTCCGTGTTGACTTTTAGGATGTAAAGACCCCGTCTCACCTAGGCGGTTGTAAAGATTTCGAAACAGTTTGTAGTTGGGCTGCCTTCGATTTGCGCATAATTGTGAATATCTTCGAGCCGCAGCGGTTCCACTTTCCACTGTAATTTGATTGAGCAAAATGACAAATCATATCGCACATCTCATTGTAAGAAAAATGTTTATGTCTATTAGAGGCATTATTTGATAAATAACTATTTTTCTTATTAATTTCTTAATTGTTAAAAAATGGTATTCTAATTTATTACTCCACAAACTGTCTAAAGGTCGATTCAGACACATCAGTCACGTCACAGTCTCGGCGACGATGGAGTCCTGTTTGGTCACAGAACTATCAACTATCTGACAGCTGGCAAACTGTTCGTCAACTGATGAATGTGAATGCCGGCGGCATATTTCTATTAAAAAATATTTTGTATAACAGATTGTTCGGTTCGGCGCCAGGACTGTGACGAGACGTGACTGATGTGTCTGAATCGACCTTTAAAGTGACATAAGCCTACTTGAAAAAATTAACGTTAAACCACGGTAAAATTCATAAATGCATTGACAATGACACAAGCCTACTTAAAAAGAAAAAAAAAACGAAAATTTAAATTATGGCTAAATTCTCGAATGTAAGCTTTATTTGATATTAAGAGATCTTCGCAAAACCGGACCATAAAGTATATTAAAGTAACTGGTGGGCTTTTTGAATATTTACTTTTTTTTAATTTGTTATTGTTACACATTGAATACAACCAACTGTAACTAGCGCCCTATATAAGCAATGTGAAATTAGAGTCTAAACTAGCAATCCTCATGCCAAAAAAATGTAAAATTGCCAATTGTTAAATGAAAATTGTGAAATTATACAAAATTGTTGCAAAAATTAAAATCCATATTTAAAACTTTTAAAACTATAAAAAATTATAATGTAATTCTGGAAGAACAATTTTCTTTGTTAAAACTTTAAAAACAAAATAAATGTCTACAATTCAAAATATCTATTGTAACAATTTGTAAACAGCAGGATTGCTGCATTTACGTAAATGGGTTTTAAAATAGTTCTATCGCTTTTCTCGCTACCAAACCGAGAGAGTAGGGCGATTAGTCACTCTCAATATCAATTAGTACAAACACTCATGCAATGCTTTATGAGTCACAAATGCCAAGCAATAGAAAATGGAAAATTATTTCCTGAGTGCTGGAATACAGGGTGTTGCAAGAGTGGGATGACGCTTTATGTGGTTATAAGATCTAATATGAAATTACATTCTTGATTTTGGAAGTATTTTCACACTAAATTGTCTTTTTATAGGCTAAATTTTGGTGACATCAAATTGAGATTTTTTAAATGAATCTACTCTGGTTCTAAAGAAACAAAATTACTTACACTATTTTCATAGCAGTGCACTTTCCAATTTTTGAATAATACTAAGTTTAGGTAAATATTAATTTTATTATATAGGCAACAAAGAAAAAAATGAGAGCAAAAATAAATATACAATACGCGTTTTTTAAGACCAAAATGTTCTAGAAGATATTAACAGAAAAATAAAGAAAGTAAAGTCAATAAGTTAAAAAAATTGGAAATGGTCACTATGTTCCAGTCAAAAGTTTAAATAACATATTGCTATATATTAATGCTTGTGATATAGAGAAGACCACTCTGATTCTGACACTTAAAGTTAAATAGTAAAGACAAATACATGTAGAATGTGTATGATGCCAAATCAAAATCTTTTTTTTTACGGTACCTATACGGTCCGGATATTGGTAATCAAAATGGCTATCACTATTTTGCTGGTAGTATGTTGAACCATTTGCTCAGTGTATGGCAAGGCATTTTTCTTCTCCTTGATCCTCTTTTTCCATAAACCTTGCCTTGAAGAACGAGCTGCAACAGCCCATACCAGATATTCTAATTTGTGCTCTTGTGTTTGTATGAATCATCCTGAACATTAGTCACCTGGTCTACCCATGAAATTTTTAAGATATGTCTTTACCACATCTCGAAGACTGTAAGCTCTTTAAACAATCGTCGGAAAATATCCGAACCTTTAAAAAACATAACCTGTGAGGATGGAAATTTTGGTTCTGAGCGGTAAATCATAACTCCTGAAGATGTATTTCATCTTTAAGATGAAACTTACCTTCCCTATGCGTTGTTTTATCTGGATGGAGTTATCTCCATGGAGTTATCTCCATAAGACTGTTCAGCGTCATCAGCACATCTAATGTTATTTAATGCAGTCCGTTGCCTTCTATTTCTCTTGTTCTTGCAAGGCTTATGAGAAGATACGTTCAGAATATATGTAAAATATATTAAATATATTCTTGTCTCACTTCTCTATCTTTCGAGATCTCCTCTATCAACCGGTCATTCACTTTAATGTGGGAAGTGTGGATATATTAGAGAACACAGATGATTATTAGGTCTTTACGATTTAAGTCCGCTTCTTTCAGGATTGTTAAAAGCTTATCTTACTCTTCACATTTTTTTCCATTTGGTTTTTTCAGATTGTTACAAAGATCGAATTTAACCAGTTTAGTGAAATTGTACCAGTTAAATATGTTTGTATGGACCATGTTTTAATAAATCTTTAATTTCAGAAACTCTTATATGTATATTGAACCAATTATGTTTATGTTGCAGTAGCTGAATTTCGGCACATTGTTCTGTGAGTTTTGTTTTTTGATCTCTTTGTCTATTCTTCTGATATTATTGATATTATCCCCCACTCATGTTTTGTTGGAATCAACACTTTTTCAAGTTTTTGTTCTGTATCATCGGCTTAAATAACGATATGCAAGTTCTTCTGTAAATGATGATTTCTTAACTTCTTTTAACAAAATTTATTCTACTAATCAGTGGTTTATGGTCTGATTTGATGAATATGACTCATGATATGGAGTTCTTTTATTAATAACAATGAAATCTATCTGATCTAGTAGCCTTTGAGTGTAGCCTTCTGTGTGGAAGTTTGAAACAGATATTGGTAATGCTGCAAATTCAGCCAGTCGGACTCCTCCCTCATTTCTCTTTCCTATCCCAAATTGGCCTATGATTTCTCCAGATTGACCACTACCAATTTTGGCATTTAGAACACCTGTAATCAGGTCTTTATGTTGAGATCTTTTTGAAGAGGTTTTTTAAGGTGTTGGATAGTTCGATATAAAATGATTCACTTATTCTGGACTGGTTTGTCAGCTGTAGAGACATATACCTGGATACTATTAGTTGTAATTGGGAACGTATTAAGTTGAACGTGAAGAATTTTCTCTGATATTGGTAAAACACTTTTAGCACATTTTTCTGGCAAATTTTTGCTTTAAAATTATACCTACTCTGTTTTCGTACCTTCCAATGCTGAATATAAAAATACCTGAATAATATATAAGTGATGATGATTAATTTCACATTACCCAGAATCCGTCCATCTTATTTCCCTTATTCTGGTTATGTCTTTTGATAGTCTCTATCTCCTTAATTGCATTATAAATCTCACCATCTCACAATCTCACCAGTTGACGACCAAATAAGACTTGCCGTTTGACCAGTATTTATAGATTCATCCGCCTTCGAGACTCCTTTCTAACTAGACAAAAGAGTATTTTTACTTACCAGCTCGTCCACCTGGATCCGTTAGTTAGTAAGTGGGAGGATTGCTTACACCGGCAATCAATCCAAGAATTTTCGCCATATCTTGTTATCCTCACTTAGTTTAGCCTGCGGGTCAATGAAATTGTAGGATCGTGGTAAGAGGAGTCATGAGAGTTGATTTACCTTGTGAGGACCAGTTATTTAAAATTATCTTAGTTCATAGTCCTTGGTGTAACTATTTCACATACATACATCAAAATAGGTTTATATAACATTCGAGAATGCTACTGGTTAACAAGCTACACCAAAAATCTCGATTTCTGCGAACTTGAATATTTTGTGAAACCTTTTTTCCTTTTCATAAAACTGTGTTTTGCTCAAACTTTTGGCTAAGGGTTGCTTGGAGGTGAAATTTTTCTACTACCTGCACATACCATTCATCATCTGCTTTAATAATAGTAATATTCTGCAACCTATTATTTCGATTGCATGTATCCTTATACGAGATCGACTTCCTAACAACTGTTTCTGTCTTGGGCCATAACAATATACTTTCTCTTCTTTACAAGCATGATCTCTTGTTTAACTATGTCCAATATTTTTTTGCCTTGCTCCTTTACTTCTTCTGTGATTCATAATTCAATTACATAATTCACTCAATTATTCATATTGGGTAATTCTCAAAAAATTTATTTTGATTATATTGTAATATTGTCTTTATCAATCCTTGACATGCATAGCATTTTTCTATTAGCATATTATATTCCTTCGTGGATTCCGCATCTATTCCACGCACATCCAAAGATGCAGGTGAAATGACATAAAAATTGTTCTGACGAACTCACCAAAGTTAGCATATACCAAAAAATATTTAATAATGAAAAATTCACGAAATTTTCTCAAGCTACCATGAATGGAGAGTTCCAAGAACAAGATACTATTTCCTGTAACATATGCCGAATTGCTGAATTTATGATACCAATCCATTACTCCATTACATACCAATACCAATGCATTACGAAAAAGTCACTGTTCGGTGTGGATTTTGGTCTAGAAAAAAATACATAGTTAGGTGTTAGATTTTAATTGCATTACCTTTAACAACTAAACTACACAAAAAGAATTGCTTTTAGCACTCTTTAACACTATTTGAGTATTTAAGTCCGGAAATACTTCCAAGCCATCAAGAATAAGTCTGCAACAAAGTTACATCGTAGATAAACGAGTAAAGCGCCCTGTATAACTCGATTACATACCTTTCAACAAGATGTTCCGTCTGAAATTATCTGGTAAAACTTCCATGATGAAGGGCCGAGCCCCTCGAACGTGCGCTGGCCCTCTTCTGCGACGAGTTAGATAAAACATGGTTCCTACTGTCTACGGGTATTAGTCTTTACGGGGGAGGTTAAAGATAGTCACAAACACTAGGGTTAGTCACAACTTTTACATTTTAGTTAATTACTATGTCCTATCACTAATTAATAAGTCCTATCACCATAAAATGTCTCATAACATTTTTTTGTTAGTTCACCATGTTTATTTTATATTTTCCTATAAGAATTTTATGTTATAGCATTGCAAAAATACAAATATATTAAAACTTTGTGTATCTCTAGATATAGGTAGTACTCGCAAAAAAAAGACAACTTACATTCGAATCTTAACGAACTAGTACACGCTATTAAAAAACTATATGAATACGATGTGTTACTTGGTTTCTTAGCTTATATCCAAAAATCGTTTTCACATCTAGATCATATAAATGATTAAGCAAGACATAATATTGAATTATAGAAAAGACGCTGGTTTCACCTATAAAACTTGGTACAGTAGCTTTGTGTAATCCTTGGCCAAACCTAATTAAGTTATTACTAATTTTATTTTATTTATCGTATGGCATACAATAAGAACACACAATTAAAAAAATCAATATAAAAAGCGTTACATGAAGTATTACAAACGAACATCTAATGTATTATTAATATAATGTAAAACATTTTCGGTCGCATTCAGGAACTCATCGAAAACTCCAGGGAATCGCCTTCGGGGACATTCTTCAACAATGTGACGGACGGTCTGTCGTTGCGCACCACAGTCACACTCAAGAGTAAGGGCTTTTCCCCATCTATATAAGCTGTCAGCACATCTACCGCTGCTTGTTCTTATTCTGTTTAGCGTTGTCCATGTATTGCGGATCAGTTCAAAGCCTGGCGGTTTCTGATCGATACAGGCCATTTGATGTGCTGCCGGTGGTGAGTCGCTCTCCCATTGTGTTCTCCAAGCTTTGGTCAGGTTGAAATGTTCCTGATGTAAGGAGTTGGCTCTTAGCAATGGAGGATATCTGGAGCGCAGTCTGTTTATTTCGATATCAAGCTTATCTTGGTGTATAGGTAGTTGATACAAAGTTCCAGTAATAACTCTTTTTAACCGAAAATGACATCAAAACCGAAACTAAATATTCAAACTCGACTGTTCAATACGCGTCGATTGATATATCCATCGAGCTAAACGACAAAAGAGGGAATCTAATCCTTATGAAAAGGAGACCAAAAAAGTGGCCTCTGATGGCGGATATATCCGGAAATGCGAATGCGCCAAATTTAAATTTTCCGACACTTATTAACAGTAGCTATATAATATTTTTCAGATTGTGTCTTAGACAAGAAAGTTTTAATTAATTATTAACTATAATAGTCTAAAATGTGACACAATTGTTAAGAAACTTCAATATAAATAAGATTTCATGTGACATTTGGGACAAACAATAACATAACCCAACTAAATTTGATGTCAAACAAGGAGAGAGACTCTCTTTCCTTGTTTAATGTGGCCTCTAATCGCACTTCCTGTCTAACAATATTTTTGCCCCCACTACCTTTACATTCCCTCTTTTGTCTTTTTGCTCGATGGATATATCACATGTATTAATTGTGCGAATATAATATGGCACTTTCGGTTACAACTTTTTAATGGGAAGAGATATAAAACTGGAAGTATATATTTGTTCTCATCTTGCTAAGGCACAATATAATCTATCGCTTGTACTATTTTGGCTACCAATCGGTTGCAACTCTAAAACCTAATATCCGATGTCAAACTTCTCATTTTTAATACCATCTTTGAGTTGTAAGATTTCATTCGACATCTCATTTGTCATTCTATCTGTTCTATTAACTGAGGAATTGTCTTTACGGACGAACAGAGAGGAATGAAACCGCAAGTATATAATATATTTGATCTCATCTGCTAATGTGCGTCGAAGAATATATCGCTTGTACTATTTCGGTGACTTTAAAACAGTATTTAAGATTGCAACTCTGGAACCGTAAATCCTGAAGGTCAAATTTCTCACCTTTAATACCATCTTTGGGTTATAAGCTCTCATTCGACAACCCATTTGTCATTAATAACTGAGTTGTGTTCACGGACAGACAGACAGATAGATATGGATAATTAAAGGTTTACACATTTTAATGTTAAATGGGTAAAAACAAAATGGCCAAGGTGTGGGATTGAACAATGATGTTTAGAATATGATATCAAAAGTTATTAGCATACCAAGAATAACTAGGTATTTATTATCCGTTGCAAGATAATTCGGATTAGGAGACTGATCCTGATTAAGAGACTGGGCCGATATCAAGCCCAAAATTACTATACTCCCTTAATGCTAATTACTATTAAACTGGGAATAAGCCACAATTAAAGATAAAAATACGTTTATTGACGTTTCAATTTCCACTTCGGAAATCGTTCTCAAAATACAAACAGTAAATTGAAATTGAAAGAATAAAATTTAAATCCGAAGTGGAAATTGAAACGTCAATAAAATAAACGTATTTTTATCTTTAATTGTGGCTTATTCCCAGTTTAATAGTAATTAATTCACAATGCCACAAGAAAATAGCTTCAGAACAAAATCCCTTAATGCTGTAACGAATAGTCACCCTAATGTATCGAAAGACTAACTTTCGATACATTAGGTTCAATTTTAAATTATATCCAAAGTTTAAAGGTACTTTACTAAATGACACAAAGTAGGTGTAGCCAGGTACGTATTTCAATTTTGAGTTGTTAACGATTGGTAAATCAAATTTTAAGCATAATTTTGTGTACCTATTTAAATTTAATCAGTTAATTGCATTTGTCCTTGCAATTCAGAATTACAAATTTTTAGGTACGTAAAGCCAGTGTTTATAAGAGATTAGAAAATTTCTTGGAATTTTATTCAAGCAAAAGGATAATGTAGTATGAGTGATATAGAAATGATTAGTGACGATGTCCTGTACATTCCTGCCACTATTTCGGGAAGTGAAGATGAGTCTGAACCTGAAAAACGATCTGGTTATATTCATCTCACACATGATGCAAAGCAAATCGTGTTTACCGTTTACAACGGTAAACGACCAGTATCAGGTAGGGCGAATTCTCCCCCCAGTAGTTTGGTTTACTTTTAAGCAAGCATTCTATTTATCTCATTAATCTTACCATTTTTTAAACTCTTTATTGTGTGTATACTTTTTTTAGCACCAATTCAACAAATTAAAAATCAAAGACAGAAACAGTCACATTCAGAAACTCACCAAATAATCAGATACTTTTAGCAATAGCAAGAATGGAATTTCAATGATAAAGGGCACACATTACAATCAACTGATAATATGTAAAGAATTCGACAGCACATCATGGCAAGTAATTAGTACAGTCATTAGTAAGCATTTTCCAAAACTTTCGTCTAAACTGATAACATCATATTTGTAGAAAGTGAAAACACTCGATACCACGTGGGGCAAATTCTCGCCTCACATACATTTCCGCGAAAACCGACGAGAATATTTAATTTTACTTCTTTGTACTCTTAAAACTGCCGTCAAAGAGATTGATTAAACTTAATAATTTTAGATAATAATAAAAACTGTTAAATCTGGGGCGAGAATTCACCCCACCCGGTATTAGGAAGGTTAATCATATTTTCCCATTAATTAATTCATAAAAAACACACAATTGCGAGCAGAATTCCTTAAAAAGTAAACTTACATATTTTTTCTTAGGTTTTCTTTGAAGCGATCAATAAGACGGTTCAGTGTTGCAAAAAAAAGGATTCTGGTGCCCATCGAGTATTACCAAATTTTCATTGATCAGCTATACGGGAAACAATATATCATATGTATTCAGTGAATAACGTACCAACATTAAATAAACTTTTGAGTGATATTCAGAGACAGTGAAATAATCCCCGAGTGTCATAAAACTACTTTTTGGAGGTTTTTAAAATCTAATGGTTTTATGTTTAAAACAGTGAATAAACGGCAGGCAATTATGGAATACAGCCGTTTAATAAAGTGCAGGTTCGATTATTTAGAGAGTCTAAAGTCTTTTAGGAGTAAAGGGAAGAACTTATATTATTTGGATGAAACTTGGTTCGACATCCACGATATAGTTAAAAAATGTTGGACCGATGCGATGGTAGTAAAAATTGCATCACCGATGTTCCTCCTTCTAGAAGAAGAATTTGAAGAATTTTGGAAGAGAATTTGTATTTTACATTGTGGGAGAGAATCAGGATGGGTAAAAGATGCTTTATTACTCTCTACTAAGAGTGTAAGTAATTGTCGCTTATATTATCATCAAGATATGAACAGTACTTTGTTTGAAAATAGCGTTATTATTTTGGATAACTCTCCGTATCATTGTAGACTATGTATATATTGTTGTAGTAAAATTACAAACACTAATTCAAACACAGCTGAAATTCAAGAATTTTTATCAAAACATGAAATATATTTTATGGATTCTTACAAAAATTCTTACAAAAAACAACTTGTAGAACTATTAAAATTAGTTAAATGTGAAAAAAATTATGTTATCGACAGGCTAGCAGAGAATTATGGCCATAAAGTATTAAGATTACCTCCTTAATATTGTGTACTGAATCCAATATGTGGTAGTCCCAATTTAAACGTAATGTGAGGAAAAATAATTCTCCTATATAATTTTCGGGTGTTGTGGATTTAATTAAGACTGAATGTAATAATATTACAGCAGATAATTGGAAAAAATGTATAGAGTATGTCAAAAAACTAGAAGAAAAAGACTTACAGTTCAAAAACATTATAAATAGAGTAGTTATAGATTTAAACGATAGTTAAGTTTAAAATAATTTCTTTTTTCTATTTTTTCACTATGTTAAATATACATTTTAATATACGTAAAATTATACATTATGTATTATATATATATATATATATATATATATATATATATATATATTATATATCATACATTATGTATTATATATTTATATGTATTTTTCTTTTACTTTGTGGGATTGTCGTAATTGTGATAAAATGTTTCAGTATATAAGTCCAACCCTGTATACAACTATACAGAGAAGATTAAATCCGAAATATCTTGCAACGAACAGTACATATTTGCAACAATATATTTAAATCATTTAAAAAAAAAGCAGATGCGTTCATAGATTATTAAACAGAACATTCTAAACATGAAGGGACTCTATGCTCGGTCGTGGTTGCTAATTCTGCACGACT